TATATATATTTTAATAATAAATAATCACAAACTCAGAGTGGGAATCTATGTTCTCCTACTGGGTAAGTTTCACACAAGAGACCCAAGATAAGTAGAAATCTCCCTAAGTGAGGAAATCCCACCTTTGACAGCTATCACAAACAGCAGAGCTTTCCCATCACCCCATATTCCAGGAACAAATGTAAAGTTTTGGCTATCCCGTCAATTTTAGTCATGACAGCGATTACATTTCACCAATGGGAAAAACAAAGACCAAAAAGAACCAGACAAGTTCCAACCATACACAACTCTCTTCAAAACTAGGAACCATTTATGGCACTGGCTGTAGTTCCACTTTAAGTCAAGCAAGCATTGATCATCATCAACAACCAACGTCAGTTTTGTATTGAATACAAGGCAGGGAGGGTGTTGGTTTCTCAGACATTTCCAGTCATATAAAAGAAGCAATGACGCATACCATCCATGTCAGAGTTCATCATCATTGAGGACGAGTCTAGTGGGCTGAACTCCAACTGCAAAGTGCTAAAATCTGTGGAACAGAAAAGAAAACAAAAATGGTTTTAATATTGTGTCTTTCATATCTGCCTGGCGTTCAGCTTTAATGGCGTTCTCAGCATACACAAATGCACTACATGTGCTTTAAAAACCAGTTTGACGCAACATACGATTAATATACTTCTATACTGCCATGCCTCTAATGCTCATCTTCCCTGGGAGGGGGTGAAGTATTTATATGCACATGTCACATCAAAAGCATTTTGGACTGTCCTTCTGTTCAAGGCGGTTTCTTCCATTTATATGTATTCCCTTGAGCTCTCTCAATAATGAAGCCATTTTCTTTACTTTAGCATTTCTTCTTGAATGCTGTTAGAAGCAGACAAACACAAACTACAATGCTTTTAGAAAGCATCTCTTGCCGGAAACTATTTAGCAGCTCCTCCAGCAGATCCATTTTCTACTAATGCATATGCACTGGACTGTAGTCTGCCATTGTAGATCGTGTTGTCACATCTATCACGAACACTGGGCACTCCAACAAGGACATTTTAACATAAGCATATTAACAGCTGGATTTCTGCTAGTAGAACGGGGCTCAAGATGTGAATCTCATCCACATGTATAATTTCTAACATACTACAATCATATTATTTAAATTAGGTATAGTGATGTACCAACAAGACACATACAGCATCTATTATAATGGACCTGATCTCACAAAAAGATGAGATCTGCTCTGTTTAGGGAACATTTAGAAATGTTAATTGTGCCCAAGAATTACCCTGAAAAATGTACTTATTATCTGGAATTTCTCCGGAAAAATAGCACACTTCCTGATATTGGAGTACCATGGCACTGGTATGGGAGCATTGCCTAGCCTCAAAGCAGTACATCTGTTGTGTGAGACCCAAGGCACAGCTGCCTCGAGTGCAACTCTCAGGAGATTTGGAGTGAAGTTTGGTGAGGTCTAGGGATGCACCGATACCGATATCAGGAAGCCGGGCGGCGAATCATTACATGCTACCCAGCTTCCCGATTGGCCAGGAAGCCAGCTTCATGCCCCCTGGTCACCAGGGATGGGGGGGGGGGGGGGGGGGGGGATGGGTAATGACTCAACCCCTGGCTTCCTGAATAGCTAGGAAGCCAGCTCCATGCTCCCTCCTCACTTGGTGAGGAGGAAGCATGGAGCCAGCTTACCCGGCCAATCAGGAACTTGTGCGGCATGTAATGACTCGCCGTCTGGCTTCCTAAGTGGCCAGCTGTCTGACCAATCCCCAGCTGATTGGCCAGAAAGCCGACTTAATGCTTCTTTGTCACGTGGTGAAGGCTTCCTGGGTAATCAGGAAGCTGGGTGGCAAGTCATTACACGCCACCTGGCTTCCTTAATGGGACTTCCGGTATCGGTGGGTACCAAAAAATATTGGTACTCAATACCGGTATCGGTGCATCCCTAGTGATGTCACTACTGGGCTGTTCTCATGGCTGAAAAAAAAAAAAAAAAAATATATACCAGAAATAATTGGTTGAAGATTACTAAAGTTATACAACAGGCATCTTACTGGACCGATCAGAAATATCACAGAAAAAAGAAAAAGCCCCACACACACACACACACACACACAAACAGTATTGTAGAATAGACTTCTAATTATCTATACAGAGACAATTGAGATTTTACAAGGCAGAGCAACCAATCAAATGTCATTTTAATGCAGTTAGATGAGGGATAGATAAATGCAGCTGGTTATGGTACTGTACACATTACTCCTTACATTATTAAATAAGTCTTTATGTCACTGGCCTTACATAACCCATCTGTGCCATGTAATAAAGACACAAAGACCCATGGGGGAAATTTGTGTAAATGTAGATTTTATTAACATTGCAGAGATGAGTGGGAGGAAGCAATGGGTTCTTACTTGGATTACAGTACGCTAGAGATGAGCGCATACAATTCTGAATGCTTTATAGAGTGTATTACTCTCCTGTGGGACTGGTTTTCAGATGTCAGTATTCTTTATTCTATATAGGATCCTGTCAGCAACAGAGAGGATTTAAATTACAATAAATCAATTTGCTCGGCGAGGTAAGTAAGAAGACACCTGACGCTGACTCGAGTATAAGCCGAGGGGGGCACTTTTCAGCCAAAAAAATGGGCTGAAAATCTCGGCTATACTCGAGTATATACGGTAGTCTTTCCACAACAAGTCAGTCTGTACATAATCTTGGGCGAGCTTAAAGGGTTATTAAACCTTCGCATGTTTTTGCATATATGTAATGCTAGAAATTAGTAGATATATGCAAAACGATTGAAAGGTTTTTGTTTTTTTTAAGGGTTAATACTTACCTGTGTCTCCGCCGCGCACTCCCGTCTGAACATCTGAAAATTTATCGGGTGGCCACAAAGAATCTTGGGGCGGGCGCATGCGCAGTTGAGATGTTCGGCCAGGAGACGAGGAGAGACACAAGGTAAGTCTATGAAGCAACGTGCACCCACACAGACACCGTGGGACATGAGAGAAGAGGACAGAGGAGTCAGCGCTTGATCAGTGACCCACAGCAGCACTGGAGGGACAGCTGAAAACGACAGGAAAGAAGATCGGATTAAGAGGCATCATTTAAGGTAAGTCACCTACAGCAGGATTGGGAAGGGGGGGAAAAAAAGTTTGACTTTAATGTCACTTTAATGAAACAACCAATAACCCGATCTTTTCTCACAAAACAGTGCAACCGGCACAGCTATCAATATGAGGGCTGCAACGATCATTTTCATAATCAATTAGTTGGCCAATTATTTTTTTCGAACAATCGGAATAAAGAAAAAAATACATAATTTAATTCAAAATAAAATACATAAATGGAGCGTTACAAAGTTTACTTCAGAGTAAAAACACATTTTTTGGGAGCTAGAACACAGGGCATTGCAATACCACGCGTTCCAGTGCAGGCGGTTACACTGCGGATGTGAAGTGCATTTGGGATGCCACTGAAATGAAAGGCAGTTGAACGGCAGTACAGGGTACTGATAGTACACCTGTATCGGCGGAGGTGAAGGACTGTCAACTGAAAGGCAAGTATAGCAGAGGGGGAGGAAGCGGGCCAGATTTAGGCGGGTAATTCCATTTTCCAAAATTACTTGGAAAAGTGAACTTATCCTTTAATGCACCTTCCACAGCAAAATTTGTCGAGCCGAAACGCAAGACTTTTCCCACCTTTTTTATATATTTTTTAAAAATAAATTGTATTATATTAGACATTTTAACTAGTTTCATGGCTTTAAAAACTACTAAAAGCCAAAATAAAATAACCAACCCTTTTACTTAAAACAACACACCAAAATTAGACAAAAATACATATACATACATACATACATACATACAAATAAAAGCCCAGCCATCAGTTTAGCATTAACAAAGAATATTGGCCCGAGAATTATTGCATGTGTAACGCAATTGTCGCTTCATATGTAGGTGCACCTGACTTGCGTTTGTTAGTAGGTGCGCGTTTGTGGGGTTGGGGGGACCGGTAAGACTGCACAGCCGTGCATAGACTCCACATGGCCCACCTGAGAGTCTGCACAGCCTACCATAGAACCTGCACAGCCACCTGAGTCCGCACAGCCCACCATAGACCCCGCATAGCCCACAAAAAAACCTGCACAGCCACCTGAGTCCACACAGCCCACCATAGACCCCGCATAGCCCACAAAAAAACCTGCACAGCCACCTGAGTCCACACAGCCCACCATAGACCCCGCATAGCCCACAAAAAAACCTGCACAGCCACCTGAGTCCACACAGCCCACCATAGACCCCGCATAGCCCAAAAAAAAACCTGCATAGCCAACCAAGAGTCCGCACAGCCCACCAAAGAACCTGCACAGCCACCTGAGAGTCCGCAGAGCCCACCATAGAACCTGCACAGCCATCTGAGTGTCCGTAATATTTTGTACATTCATACAGCCAGGAGTAACCACTTGAGAACCAGCAGGGGTGTGAAAATTTAAAAAAAAAAAAAAAGGCTACTTGTCCCGCAGGACAATCTACTTGTCCCGCAGGACAATCTACTTGTCCCGATACGGTTTCGGTTAACATTTTTTGTATTTAACCATTCATTGGTCAGCATGGTCAGGTTGTAAGTGCTCACAATTTGCAGGCAAAATTTAAAATCCATGGTGCAGGGCTGCATTGAATGGCAGTACAGGGTACTGATAGTACACCCGTAGCGGTGGAGGTGAAGGACTGTCCACCGAAAAGTATAGCAGAGGGGGGGGCCAGATTTGAGTGGGTAATTCCATTTTTGTGTGTGTGTGTGTTTTTTTTATTCTTATTTATTTCCACTTAACTTTACTGCTATCACACAGGGGCCAACAAGCTAGCAAGCAGTAGGTATATGCAAAAACATAAAAAAAATGTTTAAAAAAGTTACGAAAAATGTTTAAATGTACCTCTGTAAACCTGAACGCACGCTCCCGTCTGAAAATCTGAAAGCTCTTGGGAGGCCCCAAAGGATGATGGGCGCATGCGCAGTATACAGATCTTCGGCCAGAGGACGAGGAGAGACACAAGGCAGCGTGCACCCGCACATACAGTGGGAAAGGAAGTACCAGGAAGAAAGAGTCAGTGCTGGATCAGAGACCGGCACCAGTGCTGGAGGGACTCCTGAATACTACAGGAAAAAAAAAAAAAGATGATCGGATCAAGAGGCATCATTTAAGGGAAGTCCTTACACTTGCATGGGGGGGTGAGGGATATCCTTTAATGTCACTTTAATAATAATACCCCTAATATTGTAGAACACTACCCTTAAGAAACATACACTTGCACTATGCAAGAGTATTACCAACCACAGATTGATTGATGTACCTATACGAGTATCAGAATAAAGTACGAAGTGCACTTAGACCATGAATAAAAGTAAGTGCCTTCATTCATCTGATAAGACAGAAACTCATCCAATAAAGCGTCTATGGACTTTTTGGGGTACTGCAGTTTTTCGCTGTTTCACGGACGCACGCAATTTGTAACCTGG